TCCCGGCAAAAGTGGGGGGCAAACAACCCGTTTCCAAGGTAACAAGCCCAGCCTCTGTACTCTGCAGCAGTCTGTGAGAGAAAGGAGAGGGGAGGCAGGAGGGCTTTTTCCTTTTTTCCTCCTTTTCTTTTTTTTCTTTTTTTTTCTGGTCGGTTTTAGTTGGAAAGACATGAGTCGCAGTTTATTGAGAAGGGCAGGTATCCGGCAGAGCCAGCCAAAGTTTTTCACCGTGTAGACGAACGGGATCTGTGCGTCGCAAAGGGATTATAATCTCAAAATACCAGCAGCCATGGATGTGAGGGCAAACTCGGAGGTAAAAGCCGTCTGCTTTTTTTTTTTAAACAAACAAAAATTTACCGACGAGCTACGGCAGGAAGTTTAATTTGTCACAAAGCAGCTAGTGGGACAAAGCAGGGGTGGAAAATAACTTTTAAAAAAGTTGCAAGGTGCGTTAAAGTGTCTCCATGTGACCATATTTGGTCAATGGCATGCTGAACGATGAAGCGCAGTCATCGGCAGACTGCTTTACTTTCACCCCCCCGACAGCTGACCCTTTGAATGAAGAAAAATGTCCCAGCGGATGCAGGCAGTAACTCTGCGGGCTTTGTAATTAGTTATTATCGGTCAAACATCCCTAAAGTCAAACCAGCAGATAAGTAAGAAAACAGCACAAGACTCCAGATCACACGACTCTGAACTGAGCACCCTGTGTCGTTTTTCCTGCTGGAGTTCAGGCTTATGGTGAGGGGGGTGACTTCTGTTGTTTTGGCCAGGGAAGGGTATAAACCCAAATACTTTTTAAAACGTGCATTCTGCGTATTTTAACATTTACACTCTTGTGCATGTGCAGTTTTATCTGTTAACGCTTTTTGCGCCACACATTTGGAGATCATTTGCATTTCGTGCAATGTAGCAGTCCTTAAAAAGTATCATTAATCACACCTCTGTGGGTTAAAATGATCATGTACGTGTTTTCAGCTCTACTTCTTAGTTTGGTGCCTTTAATTTAACTTCGTCTGACCTGGCTTTGGCGCAGATGCAGGTCCAGGGTTGGTTTATTTTATTTTTTTGTGATTCACTGAAACATGTGCATTTACTTACTTGGATAAAGGGGGAAAATCTGGTCCATGTATCACAATTGTTTCAGGCAATTTAAACTTCTAAAAGCACCTTTTTTTAAGAACAACGCTGGGAAAAGAGTGTTTTCACTACACTGAGGTTTGTGTAGGTTAAGTATGGAGAGCTGTGTGGCTGTCTTTCTTGAATGTTTTGGTTCCTGAATATGAGTTTTCTTAACAGATTACAGCCTAAATCCTTGTGATCTTATCTCACTTACCATAATGCAAACCCTATGGCTGTGAGCGGTTTTCTTTAAGCTTTCTTTTTCCTCCCTTAAAAAAGCCTTTCCATTGTGCAGATCAAACAATGACCTTCCCCTCTCACTGGATGGGACTGTCAACACAAAGCTATTGAGGAAGTTCTTCTCTGTTCTCCATTCACTCTAACAGGAGTGCGTCTAGCCTAAATGGGCCGTTGTTCACTCAACATCACAATCAAGAGTTGTTTTTGTCTTCAAGATAGGTTCATTGGGATTTACTGAGAATCGTGAGGGTGTGAGGTTGTAGTTTTCCTCACCGTCATGCTAAAGGGATCCTCAACCACATTTCTTCAGATAGGGGGGTGTATTTCTCCAACACGCGGTTTTGACAGATTTCCCAGTCATAAATCTGCAGATCACAAGACCATCTCCCTTAGCTTCCCTCAAACAGCCACAGAAGTCACAAAGCTTCTTTTGAAAGCAAGCTTTTCATTGCCTTTCATGATTTTCATTTAATCTTATGTGACTATATCTATGCAGAAAGGAGACATATGATATCGGTGCCTTTGGCTCGCCTGTGGCTGTTTTAACCAATTCAGCTCTCACATTCACGTGGTTTAAAAACACAGCAGATGTCACACCTGTGGAGAGAGCACAGAACAATAACGTGTGTGTTTCTTTCTAGGATTATAAACACTGATCTCATCGATCTGCTGTCGCTCAGCTAAGAAACTACATTAACCTTGCTTTCCGCCGTGGGATTTTAGCAGTCTGATAAGTTCATTGAAGGTCATGCTATGCTGACTTAGATCTAAAAATCATAGGTAGAAGATTAACTTTCAGGCGTACAGTATTACCCACTGTTTTAGGTCTAAGGCACACTCTTAGTCATACTGTTGGTCACCATGCTGCGGCCTCAACATACAAACTAGATTTATTGGCATCCCAGTGTTTTACTTCAGTACATTTTACTTCCACCTTCCATCATTGATATGAGTGTTTGAGAGCCTGCTTGACTTCTCATTAGCTCATGAAGTAAAGCAAAACATATCACTTTCTTTCTGTACTGGACGTGAGTGGGATGAGCTACTATATCACTGGTGTTCTGGTTTTCACAAGCGATGGTGTTAGGTTGATCAGCACCTCATATGATGCTCCATTCATGGTGTTTTGTTAGTAGACTACAGTCACAGCAGCAGTTCTGTTGTCAAAAATTTGTCTGGCTAACACTGATTGCAAGACCTTCAGAGCTGCCAGCTATGGACCTCTTTTACAGCGTAACGTAGTGACACTCACCGTTCCAGGTGCCAAACCAAAGATGCCATCATGATTCATTTATATTAGTCGTCTTTCCTCTGGGGCTGCCCAGAATTGCACAGTGTAAAACTGCCTTAAGCTTAATCCCTTTTGCATTTACCAAAAGAAATCTACTACTGGTGTGTCTTAAGGTTTCCTAGGAAGTTTCCTCAAGCTCTCTCCAGCTGCAGTGCCAACACGACTACACTTCCTCTCACCCACTCACAGTGCCTCTGGTTCAATAGTGCTTTTTTCTTTTTTCTTATTAAAGATGACAAGCGCAGGATTTCCACAAAGCTTTAGAAAGACTTTGGTTACAGCCTTTTTCTGTTTGTCTTTTAATAAAAATCCAAAATATTTGTCAAGCTATTTCATGTGAAGTAAAAATTAAGCCTCAAGCTACTGTGTAACTTAACCTCTATATGTAACCGTTTATAAGCTCCCCCTGGGCTGTATAGTTAATGGGTCGTAATGTTTTAATAGGATTTTGCATGCCATGTCAGGGTAACAAAACATCATCATGTAGACGTTATCATGCCGTATGACGTCCTGACTATATTTATTCGAGGGGCTACATTTGTCATGTGTAGTTGCGTGCTGAGATACGAGCAGCGCTCGGGTTGGATGTCTGGAGTACACACACTCTCAGCTGTGTTTTCATTTCTTAAACACTTGTCACAACCTGTTGATACTCAGAATAAATGGTGCAAGCGCTGCATTTACAAAGCCTCCTTATAAAGTAGACAGCCTATAATCTTTAATGAATTGCTAGTGAATTTGACTCGGAGCATAATTTTCCCAGTGCCATTAATCAGCACATATTGACTTGAGTTTCCAGATTATTGAACTCAAAACAGCTAAAGCCGAGGAACGTCTTTATCTGTCTCAGTCATCACATGCGTAATGACTCCCCTAATGAGATCACGTCCAGTTATATTAATTAACTCACTGGCTACTTTAAGTCAAGAGTGCTAATGCCAGTGTAATCAATGGGAGCCCAGTTGTTTTCTTCAGGATTTGTTCATCAGTGAAGCCTGAAAAAAAAAGGGGGTAATTTGATCCACATATTTTAAGTGCTCCACAAACAGCTCATATTTGTTCTGTTTCTAACTAAAACTGTGCGGTGAAGTTCGGGGAAACATCACATTTATGGCCAAAAGAATCCAGTGCCAGCTGTTCTTACGTTTTTATAACTAGTGATGGGAAAAGAAAGTGTATGAACAGTGGAAACTGGGTTATGAATAAGTGGTCATGCTGCTGGCCCTTGTCCAACATGGGAGAAAATAAAGAAATCCATATAGCTTGTTATGAACGATTTCATGTAAGAACTGCTTTCTTTTGGCTGTCTGTTAGTAATTGGGTAACATTACGGTTCAGCCGAGGATGGGCGGCTGATTAGTGATTAGTGTCACGCTGTCACTAGACTGAGTCTCCCGTGGTGGGCAGATGAACATTTGCTCACGCAGAGTGATAGTCTCGGTGGGTGTGTATTGGTAAAAAAACAAGGTTTGTGAATTTATTGAGCAACAGGGCTGTGATTTCTGGAAAGAGACATTGCTGCAGAATATTTTAAATGCACTTTTTTGGTTCTTTGTGTACTACAAAGAAATAACCCTTGAAGTTATACATCTCTACAGCTGAGATCTCCAAAACTGCGCAACACCGTGAAACAATCTTTAGAAAAATGAGATTTCTAGGCTCAACTGTTCCTTTAATCTGCATAAAACTGATAGATTCTGAGAAACGACTCATAGGAGAACAAATAAACCACGCAGGTATTAGTAAAGCTAATCTCTTTCTCTGTTTACTTAAGCTTTAAGAATTTGGCAAACAAGAGCACATTTTGTGTCCTTGGAAAAGTCAAAGACTTTTCTGTTGGAGGTCAGCTTTGTGACAGATTCACCCCCCCACCTCCCCGCTGCAGCTCAGATGGACATAAGCCTGTTTTCCACATGCCTGCCTCTGCAGCTGTGCATGCTCATATCTAGGTTATACAGAAGGGGTTTTCATCTTTTCCACAAGGAGAAAATATGCCATGATTACCCTGAAAAAACACAGAGATAAAAAAAGAAGTATTGGTTCCACCTGGACAATCGAGCTACAGTGGCAGCATGGCAAAACATGTGGTAGTGTAATTATATAGGTATGGGTATGTGCAACTGCCAGTAGCACTGACCTTGGTGGTTTTCTTTTACATAGACAGATAGAGGCCGTCAGAGTCTCAAATGGGTCTCCAGAGAGTCACACTATGAACACAATGCACATATATACTTCAGGTTTTCAGTTTCAGATGGGAATTTTTGCTTTCCCATCATGGTTGGCTTATAAAATGCCTAAAAACAATCTTCACGTGTAGTGAAAATGATTTTATGTGGACCGTATTCATCCTGTTGAATATCAAACCCTGGGTGCCCTTCTGAAAATATGTATCTGTACCTCAACTCCCACGCTGCTCTGCTGACATGATTCGGCTCAAATTGGCTCAAAGGACTTTGTCCGCTGGGGACAAAACTGGTCTTTCAGGAGGTACTGAAACAATGGCGTGGATCAGTGTGTGGGCTTATGCACTCATGTCTGCCAGCAAGTTGTGACGTCTGGAAAGAGTTGAGAATTCGCAGAGATTTTCACCCTTCCTTTCCCCATTTGTTTTTGGCTGCCTGTGAGCTCTGCAGTGGTTTGAAAAACCTTGAAGTCAGGTT